AATTAAACAATAGGATAGACAACAATACATAGTATTATTGTTAGACTTTTACAATAATAATGTTATATTCAGAGTCTATTAGATAATTAGCCATAAATAGTTTACATATAACACAAAAACACTAACCTTATCCTACACGTGAAAACAATACTATCCTATACATAATGTGCAACAAGAGTCACGTGAAAAACAGAATATCACATCGAAATCACTATAAATTACCTTAGTCGCTTTGTAATTAAGTTCAGATTGACTTGACTAGCGTACATACTTATCATCGTCAGGTAGCTGCAAGCTCTGGGCTAAGTGGCCTAAACCAAAACCGCCCATTATATTCTGAAGCTTAAAACATTTCAATTTAAAAAAATGGAGAAATAAACGTTTTTGCAATGAAGACTTTGTCAATTTTCGTCCGATTGGATAATACAATACTTTTACGTCTCATAAATAATATTACGAGTTTTAAATTTCTACATAGTTCGCTAGGATATAATAGTATATAAGCTCTTTGAAAAAATACTAAAATACACTTCTACTTGCCTCCACAGTTTGACAATTTTATGAAAACAAAACTCACTCTTAACTCGTACCGTCTCTCTTTACTGTCTCTCTGATTTGTTAATTGCGTCCGTATTTTCAATATTTGTATACATTTAGCACTAATGTACAATGTATTCACGCAACTAAATAATTATAATTTGTAAATTGTCTAAAATCTTCTCACATGAAGAAGAAACAATGACACGTTGTATATTTTGTATTTATTCATCTTATTTATTTTGTATAGTATATGCTTAATGTATGAATGCAATATAGGATGTGTTTTATCTATTTATAGCAAATCTGAGCTTGGTAGCCGCACTAAATTCACGGCGAGAGCATTCTCATACATGTAACATAATATATTACATCGTTGTAAATTTTCCTCTCTACTGAATCACTGTCTCAAGTACGTCTTGATTACTATGTTTAATGTTCCAAGTAGAGGCCAAATATATTAAGTATTATAGGTATAAATCTATAGATGTAACGATTCATTAATTGTATTTGTAATCTTTATACGTGTTTACGAAGTCACAAAATTCTATGTCACTGTTTATTGGACTTCAGGTATTATTATAATAATGTTATATGTTAATAAAGGGTATTATTATTTAAATTAGATGTATTTTACTACTATTATCATTGTAATTTGGGCGGGTATTGCCTCTGTTAAGTTATATGTGTATGAGAATTCTGCATTTAATTACTGTCGGCTGTTTTACATTCAAGTTGACGTTCGTTACAAGTTTAACTTTATCTCATAATATTTGTTGATTTTCAAACATGGTATAAAATCTATATATTAATTGAATGAATGTAACCTGACTGGTCCCAGTCCACTAGTGCAAGGAATGGAATATTTTACAATTGAGCTGTTCACGGGAATTCCCAAAAAGGGAATTCACGCAAACGAAGCCGTGAACAAACAGCTAGTCATGATACAAAGAATGAAACACGCTTGGTAACTTGGGACAGTATGAGCTGTAACGCTACTATAACAATTCCAGAAATATTAAAGACTGTTCACGAATTACGACTATCTACAGTAGCCGGCGATAAATGTTACGCATCGAATTTTGGAAAGAGCCAATTTTGTGTGATGATGATCATTTATTTGTACAATACTGTTTTTTCGATGTAAGTACTCGGCTGTAGGAGCCATCATTGAGTTGTAGAATACGTGGCGACTTGGCCGATTGTCTCTTGCTAAACTTCAATGTGCAATCTTTGTCACCAGGTACTGTGCATTTTGTAGATATTATAATTATTATATTGTGCACTTTAAAAGCACGGTTGGAAATATTATTTGACTTAGTATTGTATAAATGTTGATACCTGAGCTCCAATGATATAACGTGTTTGTTCTAATAAATCTATACTGTAGTTGTACGTGTAATCATAAAGTTCGATGTAATTACTACAATTTATTTGTCAAATGTTCTAAGAGTGTCAATAATTTGAAATAAATGGGTTTATTGATGTGTTGTGTTTTTTATGAAGGTGTACCTTTTGTATTAATCCGATCAAGTTAGCCTAATAAGTAGGGGTACCATTTTTTCTTCTCGTATGGCGACCAAGTCTCCAATTCAATGTTGTCGACTATATACCGCCAGTGGCTGGTGGTAACGGCAGATTAATGAACCGTCGAAGTTTAACTTTGTAGCAACTTTGTAGGACATTTGTTGTTGCTGAAGAGAACAAAACATTTTGGGTTAGTAAACGTATTTTTTTTCTTAATAAAATGATAAAGGGCAAGCATTTTACTAATTTTTGGTAGGAGTACCCTTGCATTTACACAACATCTACGATATTGACAGCTATAAAAGAAGTGGTCGTAAAAAGTCGTAATTTTGGTTTTAGAAAAGTTGTTAGTCGAATCCACAAAGTACCACAGTCTCAAAGTACCACAACACAAGCAGCTGTGTAATGTGATAGTGCAATACGTGCAGTAGTTATCTTAAAATGTGTTGTAGATAGAAATGTCTCCACGTTGAGTTAAAAACCTGAACAGTAGTAAATGAACAACACTAACTTCACTATATAAAAGTTTCGCAAGTAACTTGCAAGAAAATGGCCGGGCCCGGTATGAAATACAAATAATTGAGATTGTGATTGAACCTATTGTGGGTCCTGATTGGAGTCAAGGAGCGTGGATGTGGGACATCAACAGGAAACCAGCCATTTGCAGCACCAGCCGAAGGTCAGGCTGCGTTGTTGATATAATGCTCCAATTGCCTTCTCAAGAGCTGCATTTGCGACCGAGCTATTTTCATACGAGTCTACAGAGCAGATAAAAGAGGTCACCTCTACGGTCCCACAAACTATACTTACTGTGTATATGTTTGCCTTAACCAGCAGGTTAGGTCCACATAGCATCTCCATAAAGTTCTTAGTACGTACGTATGTAGCAGACGCAGACATCGGAGTCGCATGCCTTTTAATAAAAATGTTACATTTATTGATCACTCATATCGGTTTCAATAATAAATCGGCAAAGTTTCATCACGACCAATAAAGTTCCCCTTTAACGAAACCTCTGTCAACTAACAATCTGCAGTGAAGGCGTGGTGCCACTGTTAGCGGCGCGTGGGCGGATTAGGTAGGTACAATTACTTAATTCTGGATCTATCTTTATAGATTTCTTCTAAACTCGTGACAGATACCTGTCTTGGTGGAGAAGGTATGACGAGTCATATTAATAACGATATAATGATTTTACTAATGCTGATGCCACGGACTTTTCCGAACATAGATACTTTTATCAAAGCTATTAAAATGTAATTAAATCTGCTGCCCTCTACCAAGTTACGTATACTTATTTTAAAATACTTTAATATTTAATAGGTACTTCCCTAAGTACCTATATTACATTTTCGTGCGTTTAGTAGTCCGCTGTCAGTGAAGATGTACTCTTTGCTAATTGCCCTGCTAGCCCCCTATTGCTCGTGAACCGGCCAAAACCGGCGCAAGGCGGTTTGAGTTATTCTCGGCACTACGGCGATACATTGCGCTCACGCAGGTGGCAAGGAAACGCCTGAAGACAATATGTGATTTGTGACACTCGAATCAGTTAAGTGATACCTACTAGAAGCACCTACTCGTTTGATTGTTGCCGAATTTAATGATATACTAGTCCTAGAATGTAATTTTTCGAATGAGGTAGATTTTTTTTAACGCAATTATTAAATTGACTGTCCAATACAACAGTACTTTACATACTCTTTGAATCTATTATAAATAGTTTAAATGGCCATCTATGTTAATGGAAACTAGACGTATAACATCTTTTCCACTGCACCTTGCTTACAGCCATCCCTAGCCGCCTTTTTTAACCATGGTCTGTCTAGTTGAGCCTGATGCTAGAGGATACGTCCCGGTTTCCACTCCAAACCCCCGTTTGCTCTATCAGCTGATAGAAAACCGATAAGTGCCTATCGCTCTAATGCTAGAAATACAGGAAAACAAGATACAACAGAAAGAAGAAGATTTTGCTACCTTCTATCAGTAGTAAATATAGGCGATAAGTACGTGAGTAGAAAAGGCAGCACCAAAGGTAAGTTGGCACCTGTAACACGCCACCAAAAGTGCTAACCAGGAAACTTAAAAATCGCTTCGCCATTGACTACATCGATGATGTTATACAGAAGTCTTCATTTCACTCTTCATTATTTTTTCAAAATCACGGATGTAATGGAGTTAAGGATTAACAAAGCTATATGCGAACTTGGAACAATAATGAGACTAATTATAAAATTAATGTTGTTTAACAATCGTAAAATAAATTATGAAGTGAGAAAACCGTGAGCACCAATAAATGGGCTGGCAAGAATAATAGCAACGGTACACATACAAGTAGCACACACAAGTCTAAAGTAAAACTTATCATCTAGTAAACATGGACCATCCACCATCAGGCTCGTCCAGGGTATTTTTCTACACCTCCGAACTTAGTCGGTACTGAGACGAAATCAGATTCAGCTGACAACCTTTTACTTTTGGAGCTGGAGCGACTGCCATCTAATTTATACAACCCAGTAAGTTCTATCCTGAGTAACACAATCCCAAAAAATAATTTTCGTTTTAGTCAGATGCGAATCTTAACTCTACATCAGCTTCAGAGCTCTCTGTTTCAACTGCCACTAAACAATTCTTAGATTTCTCCAATAGTCACCACGTAAGCT